GTTGTTTGTCTTTTTGTTGTTGAGTTGTAAGAGTTTTTTATATGTTCTGGATATTAAACCATTATCAGATATATGATTTGCAAATACTATCTCCCATTCTGCATGTTGCCCTTTCACATTCTTGATAATGCCCTTAGATGCACAAATGTTTTTAATTTTTATGAAGTCCAATATATCTATTTTTTCTTTTGTTACTCATGATTTTTATGTCAAATCTAAGAATCCATTGCCAAATTTATGCCAATCCTTAAATTCATATGGAACTACAAGGGACCCCCAAGTAGTCAAACATTATTTAAAAAAAAAAAACAAAGTTGGAATACTCACATTTTCTGATTTCAAAACTTATCACAAAGCTATAGTAATCAAAACAGTATGGTTTTGACATAACACAGACATTTAGACCAATGCATAGAACTGAGATTCCAGAAATAAACACAAACATTTATGGCCAACTGATTTTTGACATAATGCCAAGACCACTCAATGGGAGAAAGAATCTTATCTTTAACAAATGGTGTTGGGACAACTGGAAGACCAAATGCAAAAGAATGGAGCTACACCCCTAACTCACTCCATATATAAAAATTAACTCAAAATGAATCAATGATCTAAATATAAGACCTAAAACAATAAAAGTTTTAGAAGAAAGCATAGGGGTAAATTTTCACCATGAATAATTTAAATCCACAGATAATTCCCACTCTAGTTAAAAGTGAACATCTTCTCCATCATAACTTTGCCCAAAGACTGTAGGGATGGTGGCAATGCTGACTGACTTGAGATTTATTTCTTTTCATCCCCCCATCCATTAGGACAGTTACTTCATGAGAAAAGACCTTGAAAGTAATCAGAAAGAAGAAAAAAATCAAGCACTTAGGCTAATCCTAATAAAAAGTACAATTGGCCATGAGTAATAAAAAAATAAAACCCAAATACACAATTTAAACCAAAGGTACCCTTTGGTTTCTAAATTCTTTTCCCAGATTGATTAATTCTTCTCTTCCACCCCCTCAATTACCCAGCAATTTTATTAGGAGTAGTTAATATAGTGGTTAAAAGCACAGGCCCTGGACCCAGAGATCCTGGATTCTAATCCCAGGTCAACCACTTTCTTAGCTACTTGTCTTTAATTTCTCCCTATGCCTCAGCTCCCTCATATTCTAAATGAGAATATTAGTGCTTACCTCATGTAGTTGTTTTCTGCCACATAGTAAGCACTTCTTAAGTGTGTGCTATTATTTCTAGGACTGACAAGAGAGACAGATTAGGCAAGAGAGGTATTTCTATGTTTCCTACAGTACTAGTCTGTAATTATATATAGATAGATAGTTGCTAGAAAAAAAACAGCTCATATGGTGGCCATGATCATGTGCCTTGTAAACCTCCAACTACAGGGAGTGCAATTGACCAGGGGCCCCAGCTGCTGTGCTCAAACTCATTGACATATTTGCACAGAGGCCTTACTTCCCACCAGCTGCTCCTAGCCAGTAACAGGAAAGCTGAGCATTACAGAAAAGCTAAGGGAGGCTGTTCCTGGGAGGCACAGGCCTCCTCTTATGGTCGACTTTGGCTTGACTACTCTTTGACAACCTTGTCAGAACTTCCTTAGTTTGAAGGACTTCACCCTGTTGTCTCTTTGCTCTGGGTCGGTCTTGCATCATGCCCTGAGGCTTTCCCAGCCTTTCCTGACTCCCTCCGTATTTCTTCTCATGTTTTTAATCCCATCTTAGTGTCTGATTTTTAGAGGCCTTGGACTAAGCTCTCTTGGATATGGCCTTAACCTACATTCCACCTTGGTTCCCAACTGTGCCTAATGCTTTCCCAACTCTGAGCCTTTGCCCATGACCCTTCACTGAGACAGCACTCACCACCTGACCATTTATGCCTGTTGGATCCCATTTGTCATTGATCATGCATCTCATATGTCACCTTCTCTAAGCCTTTCAGGACCTGCCAATCATGTATATTCTTTCCCTTCTGTAAACCTCTAGGACTCTTACCTTTGAGCTTTGTTATAACCTTATTAATAGCAATGCTTATTTCTTACTTTGAACCCTCCAAAGTCCTCAGCTTGTATAGAATAGACACTCAATATTTGTAGAGTGTAACTGGAAAATTAGGAGGAATTCTACTCTAGTGAATTTAATTTTTAACGTTCAGTATTTCCAACAGCTCACATCCATTTGGTTTGATGTAAAACAGTGAACTCAAATGAAAAAAAATTATCCTCTGCATCAAAGCACTTAGGGCAGAATGTAACATGTAGTAGTAACTCAATTTTAATTTCTGCTTAAAATTCATCATCAAATCTGGCTGATTTCCCCCCCCACACACACACACAAAGAGGAATTACATGAAATTTTCAAATAGTTTTGGGTTTGTCCGTGTATATGAATGTGGACCAGGGGATCAAGGTAAAGAATTGTAAAAGAATGCTTCCTCTTCTAACAAAGGGCCGTGGCCCTAAAGGCTGGCAAGACCAACATTTCTCCCCTTGGGCTCCTCCAGAAATAGACAAGGGAGGTCCTGTCATTTTAATGAAGCTTCATAGGGTAAAGTATATTATACAGTAATATGAGAGGGCACTGATGAGCTCAATCCATAGAGAATCTTATTTCCGCACATACTTCTGACATTTATCAGGTTCACTTTTAATCCTTACCACAGACCTATCCAGGTATGGGACAGGAAACTGCTGTTAGGTCACTGACCAAAATCCTTGAGAAGTTTACTATAGGTGTCTAGAAGATATGCTAATCATATAAAATTCTATTTCTTCCCCCGACCTCATCCCAGGGCTCTTTAGCAATGATCTTGGGCAGCTCGGCCCAAGGAAATCATCACAGGATTGAAGGCAAGGTTTGGTATCTAGCCAGAGAACACCACCAGTGCCGGCTCCACAGCTGCAGGTAAAGGTTGTGACTCTTCCACTTGGGTCTCTAGCCATTTCCCGTGAAGAACACGACACTCAGGTCAGACCTTCTCAGGTGGAAAGCAGGAAGAGGCTGGCTAGTGCAAGGATCAGATAGCACCTGCTTGGACGCTCACTTATTAATGATTTAACAAGAATGATCACATGAGGCAACTGCCGTTCCTCCCTGCCCTCATTTCCTCACTAACAGGCCTGAAAAGTGTACAAGATGGACGGGTCCAGCAGAGAGGAAGAGGAGGACGGCACCTTCACCAACATCCCTCTTGTAGACGACACAGGTGAGGGAGAAACCTGATGAATTCCGGAACATAAAATTCAGCAACTGCTCAACAGGTGTTTTTTTTAAATATAAGTTTTATTATTTTTATTATAATTGTAAAACATACTCATTGTAGAAAACTTGAAAAAAATGTAGCTACAAAAATAAGACAAAAAGTTTTTAGTTAAGTGCTATTTTTCTTTTTCCTTTTAAGTGACTATTTTAAAAGTTCCTGTGGTTATAGTACATGTACTTTGAAAAAAATAAGTCAACGCATTAAAATATAAAATGTGTATTTCCTAAAAGCTCAGGAAACATGACTTCAAAGTTGTTACTAAAGCAATCTACGATGTTATCATATTTTGTTCAATTATAGTCAATTTCTTCTGTTTTGTAAAATAATTTTATCATTTCTGAAAAATGAGCTAGACTATGTTGCTATTCACTTTAAGAATTGTTTCAGAAAATGTCTGGGTTTTAAGCAAGGACAAAGTTTGCTGAATTCAACATGAGAGAAGGGGGGCGGGGGTAGCAGTCCTAAAATGTTGATGGAAGGATAACTGTCCGGGACAAATGAGCAAGGCTGAATCGCACAGTGTTAACTGGAAACACTTCAAACATATAAGAACCCACGTCTGTGTGTATGTGGGGCTGGGGAAGGGGGAGGGTGTGTGTGTGTGTGTGTGTGTGTGTGTGTGTGTGTGTGTGTGTGTGTCTGTGTGTGTGTGTGTGTGTGTCCAGCTCCCTAGTAAGAAGCCAGGACCGCAGCTAAGCACTGGGGGTTCCTGATTTTGACTCACAGAGCGCCCAGCATGAATATTTAACATCACTTGCTCTTTCATACAGCCACGCTTCTCCAACTTTCTCCCTAAATGCTCAGATTCAAAAAGCCTCTTTCTGAAGTGCGGCCAGACAATTAGCCCAAACCGCCAGCCAGCCTGAGCTAAGCTTCCCTCCTGGCACCGGATAAACATGCTGGGGGCGGGGGGACTTTAGAAATCAAAGAAGAGCGTTTTCAGCTTTTATGAGGGAGGGAAAGAGACAAGGTTCTGGGGCCGACGGAGCCATGGGATAGCCTTGGCCTTAACCTGCTCGCACCAGGGCGGTTTAGAAAACGACAAGAGTTGCAGCAGGCAGTGAGAAACGAAACGGAGCCCAAGGGAAACCCGCTTCTTCTCTCCTGGGAGGCGCGGCGCGGGGCGCGTGCCCGCGGGGAGCCCCGAGCGCTGCGCCCCGGGGAGGGCCTGCGCGCTCCCAATCCGCCCGGGCCGGGTTTCTTTCTCGATTGTAACGTGGGCTGGGCCTGAACCGGGGGCCTGCGACGTGGCCAAGGAGCCGTTCTCAGCGCTCTCGCCTCCAGCCTGGGCGCCGCCAAAACCCTGCGCTCATGTCGCCTCCTCTGCCCCCCGCCCCCACTTCCAGCACAAACAAAAGCAGGGGAAGGACGGGGGACCTGAGTCAGGTGTCCAGACCACTGCTGGCACCTGTCGGAGTTGCTTGCTCACCGAGTCCGAGGCCGTGGGCAGAAAGGCTGAACAGGCTGGGATGGGGTAAGCGGCCCCTCCGGGTTGGCACAGAGCGCGCGGTGGCGGCCCGGGGACGCCGGGTCTCCCGCTCCCCGTCGCCACCTCCGCGGGCTCAGCTAGAGGGGGCGCGCACAGGCCGTAAGGATGGGTGGTCCAGCGTAGTAACCAGCATAGCAACCAGCATAGTAACCAGCATAGCAACCAGCGGGGGCGGAGGGGCTAGTACAAGAGTATGTGCTGTTTCAGTAGCCAAGACGTTAAACAGAAAATTGTTCATTACCTTGTCAGGACGATGAGCTGAGGCATCACGTGTTTGGATTTTTGGAGATAATTTATCCGTTTGATGCGGTAGCGCTGGTTCACAGTGGTTAATAAGAGGCTGTTGGTGTTTGAGAGATAAAAATAGGAAAACCAATTATTAGGAAGTAAACGCAGCTTGTTTAATAGACATCATGAAATCTTTGCAAGAGGAAAGCATTAGAAAGGTATGGCTTATAATATTAGAAAGTCTAGTCCAATCTCTCACTTTTCTTTTTGTTCTATGTCTATATTACTATGTAATGGATAGTACACATGTCACAAATACATGTGTACTATACATTACACATACACTCGTAGGTGAAACGGGGGCGCAGGGAGGTCAAGTGACTTGCCCTAGGCGCACCCTGGCTAGCTGTGTGTTGTACTTGAGGCTGCTAGTTAGGGAGGGCGTCCTGCTGGAAAGCTCACTTTTACTTGTGAGGAGACGGAGCCTCAGGTCCTGGGATGCTGATTGCCCCGTGGCTGCTACAGGCCCAGGCAGTCTCCACCCCAACCCCCCATCATAGCACTGTTTCTTTTCTTATTCAGAGGATAGCAAGAGAAAGGAGAAGAAAAGATTTGCTAACTCTGAGAAAAAGTTTGTTTGGGAAGAAGACTGAAGGCATTAAACTTTGGTTTATCTTCAGATTTAATTCATTCAGGTAATTGGGGGGGAGGAGGTGGCATAAGAACTGGCAGTGGCAGAAAGTTAGTTACTCAAATCACAAACCAGTGGTGCTCCATAAATTCATTTGTGGGTTAGTTGTATCGATTGTAGACCAGATATCTCCACAGAAACAAGATTATAAATAATAGGATTCTAGATCAGCTTTAACTCCACAATTCCCAAACTGTGTGCCAAGGTGCCCCGGGGAAGTACAGCAAACCCACAGGAGTTTGGGGGGGATGGGCGCTCCACCTCTGTCAGAGACTGTGGGAATGAATGGCTAGAAGCTGTTCACAATTTCACATTAGATGAGCTACATTTCTTTCAGTGACATCTCTTTCAGTGCTGGGTTTTCTGTGGTTGCTGTGATAAAAGCAAGGTGGAGGGGATCAATGGAGGGGAGGAGGGAGACATCTGTAGTACTTTCAACAATAAAGATAAATTTTTAAAAAATCAATGTAGAACAGGTAATGAGGGTGTCAGTTTGAGAAGATGGGAGAATTTGTGAAATGCTCAAGAGGAGCTTATGTCCCATAAGTAAGTGTGTGTTTTTAAGAATTAAATTAAAAAGTTGCAATTTCTTTCAGTTTAGGTGTAGTATTTTTTCAAATGGTTACTAAGTTTGAAGGATATTAATACTTATATTAAGATATTTGGAACTAAATACTTATTTCATGGAACCGTTGGGTATTTCTCTGGACTTTGGAGCATTGTGAAACAATGACTTAGACTTAAGGGCACTGTGAACCAAGGTAGCTTGGGGATCGCTGGTGCAAGCTACATGCTGTAGCTGCACTGGCCTCCCTTCTGGGTGGGAGTTGTACAGTGCAGAGCAAACATGTGATCGTACTGATCTTTCTTTCCTTCCCCTGCTTCTGCTTCCCTGGCTTTGATGCTACCACACTGCTCAGGTTCTCTCTCCTCCTTCTCAGACCCTTTTAGGAACTCCTTCCTTCAAGTGTATCCTAAGATTCTGCCCTTGGCCTACTCTTCTCCCTCTAGACATACTCTCTGGATGATCTCATCCACTCCTCCGAGTTCCATTCTCACCGTCCATGATGCTACATACCAGTGACTCTACGACAGAGGTTGCAAATTCAAACACTCTTAGGGCCAGGCAAGGTATTTGTGGGGCAGAGGCAATGGTATATCATCATTTATTTCATTCAATTTTCAAAAGAAACTATTGAAATTTCAATTCTTTTTTCAGTTTATTGGGTTTTTTATCATGCATCTTATTTTTAGTTAAAATTTTTTATTTTATTTTAATGGGGTAAGAACAATTAACATGAGATTTTTAAGTGTACAATACAGTATTGTTAACTATAGTCACAATGTTATATATCAGATCTCTAGAACTTATTCATTTTACACACCTGAATTTTTATACCTGTTGATTTAGCCACTGTCCCTTTCCCACCCCCTCTGCAACTATCATTCTATTCTTCGGTTTCATGAGTCTATTTTAGATACCTCATACCTCATGTAAGTGAAATCATATACTATTTGTTCGTCTGTGATTGGCTTATTTCACTTAGTAAAATGTCCACAAAGTTCATGTTGTGACATATTGCAGGATGCTTTTCTTTTTTAAGTCTTAATAATATTCCACTGTGTGTCTACATCAATTTTCGCTTATCCATTCATATGTCAATGGACAGTTAGGTTGCCTCCACTGCTTAGCTATTATGAATAGTCATCTTGATTTCAATTATTTTGGATAAATATCCAGAAGTAGGATTGCTGGATGATACAGTAGTTCTATTTTTAATTTTTTTAGGAGCCTTCATACTGTTTTCCATAGCGGCTGCATCATTTTACATTGCCACCAGTAGTGTAAAAGGGTTCCAGTTCCTTCACATTCTCACCAGCACTTGTGGTCTTTGTTTTTTTGATGGCCATCCTAACAGGTGTGAGGTGATATTTCATTATGGTTTTGATTTGCATTTCTCTGATGACTAGTGACATTGAGCATCTTGTCACATGTCTGTTGGCTATTTGTATGTCTTCTTTGATGAAATGTTTATTCAAGTCTGTTGTCCATTTCTCAGTTGGGCTTTTTAATGCTTTTGTTATTGAGTTGTAGGAGTTCCTTATATATTTTGGAAATCACCCCTTATCGGATATATGATTTACAAATACTTTCTCCCATTCTTTGGGTTGCCTCTTTACTTTATTGGTTGTTGCCTTTAGTGTGCAGAAGCTTTTTAGTTTGATGTAGTCTCAATTGTCCACTTTTGCTTTTGTTGGCTGTGCTTTTGGTGTCATATCCATGAAATTATTGCCAACATCAATATCATGAAGCTTTTTCTCTATATTTTCTTCTAGTTTTACAGCTTCTGGTCTTTCATTTAAGTCTTTAATCCATTTTGAGTTGTTTTTGTATATGGTGTAAAATAACAGTCCAATTCCATTCTTTTGTATGTGGATATTCAGTCTTCCCAATACCATTCATCAAAGAGACTATTCTTTCCCCATTGTGTATTCTTGGCACCCATGTTGAAAATCAGTTGACTATATATGCATGGATGGTTTCCTGGGCTCTCAATTCTGTTCCATTGGTATATATGTCTGTCTTTATGCCAGTACCACATTTTTTAATTACTGTAGCTTCGTAATTTATTTTTATTACACTGAAATTAGAAAGTGTGATGTTTCTAGTTTTGTTCTTTTTTTCCTCTTAAAATATTGTTTTGGTTATTTGGAGTCTTTTGTGGTTTAATATGAATTTTATGATTTTTTAAAAAAAATTTATGTAAAATATGCCATTGGGGTTTTGATATGGATTTCATTGAATCTGTAGATTGCTTCAGGGATACTATGGACATTTTAACAATATTAAAGTATTATAAAATGAAAACTAGAAAATACTGATGAAAGAAATGAAAGATGGTACAAACAAACGGAAAGTCATCACACATCTTTTAAATATAGCAGCAATTGCTTTTAATATAGTTTATTTCACAATAGTGTCTCAAGCGTTAATTCTTTCAACAGGATATGCTTTGTTTGCATAACAAATATATGGGAACTTTTTTCATCTCTCATGGCTATTTTCCTTGAAACAATTTTATCTTGGACTAGATTTCATTTTCTACTTTTGATTGAGATAAGCGAACAAGGAAAGGTTACTTTCCTCTTCACTCTGCTATAAGAAAGGCAACAGAGCAATTGTTATGATAAAATGGCAACCAATGTGGATACTCACTCAGGGCCAGGGGTCCAGCCAGGTGAGGCATGTGTCCTGCTCAGAGAGCACAACTGCTTCCCATTTCCAGCTGACTGTTGCATTGGAAGAATGGAAATGCAAGTAAGCAGAATGTTCAAGAGATACTAGAAATACAGAAATTTTTGGTGCAACTTCTTGATTTTTCCATGTTCTAATTTAAAAACATTATCACAAAGGTCCAAACAAAACACATCTTTGGGATAGATATGACTGCAGAAGAAACTATTTTCAGACTTCTGCTTTTGAGTCTTTATCACTTGTCTTTCTCTTCTGAGTTTCTGATTCATAAATCAACCGCTAGACACCTAGATATATCTCAAGTGTCACATGAACTCATCTTCCCCTCCCCTACCCCCAAAACTGATTCTACTACTGATTCATAATTTTAACGAATGGTCCCATCATCCAGCCAGTTCCTAATGCTAGAAATTCATATGTCATTGTCCCAGTCTCATCTCTCACCATCCCATCTGTGGACCTTGAAAATGTTTCTCCAATACATCTGCCTTCTCTAACCGACCACCCCTTCCCCGATGAAGACCCTTATTATCTCCCACATAAACCACAGCATCAAGCTCCCAACTGTTCTTATTTCAATTCTTATCCTTTCAGATTTCTCCTCTACACTGACCATATCACCTCCCCTCCTTGCAGAGAACAATCAATGCCTCTCATCCTCTGATGGACGAAGTCCAAGACACTTAGCATGGCATTTACAGTTTCCCTCTTCCCTGTTTGACCTATCTCTTCAGTGTCATTTCCTGCCACACAGTTTGGGCTCAGTAGGAAACACTAATATTCCATCCACATGCTATCTCTTTCATGCCTCTGACTGTTCATGCTGCTCTCTTTGCCTGGAATACCACCACTCACCCTTCTCTTGCCTGGCTAATTGCTCTTCACACTGTAAGAACTCTCTCAGGCATCACCTTCTCCAGGAAGCCTCCCTTGACCTTCCCAGTTTCCTTTCTTGTTCCCGAAAACCCCAAGCTTATTCCTACCTATACCTTTTCACAGCATGTTGTCCTTGACGTATATGTTTCCTACCCAATAGATTGTGAACTACTATGGGACAGAGCCTGGGTTTTCAAATATCTGTATTTTTAGCACCTAGCACATAATAGACTATATATATATATTTGCAAACAATCATGCCTGAGTTTGTGTGTATATTGTAGTGAAG